TCGGTCTAGGTCCGTTTACCTTTCGTTAAAAGGTTTTATTTTGTATTTTTTTATAGTTTTTTTTTTTTTTTTGTCCTCCGTTCTCTTTCCCGCTGTGGCGTTTTATCAAGTTTATGTGCCTTCCCCCCCCCCCCCTTTTTTTTTTTTTGCTTTGTGTTGCTCTTTTGTTTTGTTGCTGGTGTTGTTTTGCTAGCCGAAAAGGGTGTAGGCGCCGTGTGCCAATGGAAGACGCCGTGGATCCCTCCGCAGAGCTCATCAATGAGCTGCGGGCGCTTGTGGTAAGTGGTGGCACGATGGTGCCGTTTGACGAGCGCAAAGTGAGAGCCGTCGTGAACGGCATGTCAGACTCATTCCGTCATCTTGAATCCATATCTCGTAACCCGTACGCCGATCCGTCTCTGCCGTTTTACGCCAGCTCCATGAAGTACTACTGGGCGAAGTATTTGAGGGACAAGCGTTGCCTTCTGGCGTACTTGATGTGGAGGCGATCGCAGATGACAAGGGCGTGGTGGGAGGCAAAGGACAATGCCTTGTCGGACGTTTTGGCGCCATGTGAATCGACTTTTCTGCAAGAATATAACGAAGTCATGGTGGAGTACATGACATCATTTGCTGTTCCGTTAGATCTTAGAGCCTTCACGTGGCGGCCTCCCTCGACGCAACAATTGGAGGTTCGAGGTTTGGCGAACCACGTCTTTGTGTCCCCCATCTCGGGGACAGTTATTAATCTCTACAAGGGTAAACAAATCCTGTTAGGATTCGAAGAAGCTGAGAGTTTAATTCAACAGGGTGTTGTCGAACTCGTGGAATGATGCGTGTGTGTGTGTGTGTTCATGTTTAGTTTGCTTTGCTGGCATGTCTGTATCCTTAAAGTGTCCCTCTAAGATTCTTATGCATGGTGGCCACAAATCACTCCGCTATCCTTCTCGCGTTGAATTAACCGGCAACACTCATGAAACCTCCTTATCCCTATCCCTTTCCTTTATTCGTTGTGTGTGCATGTCTGCATACGTTTGGCATTGTTTTTTTTTTTTTTTTTGCGTCAAACACGCAATCAAATATACTGTCAGCATGTGAATGTTATTTGGTCAATTAGGGGTGAGTAGGGCCGCGCTTCAGGAGGAAAATGCACGGCGGAAGGACTTCTTTACGCTTCTCTACCTTGTTCAGAGGCGTCTGTACTCGCCGACAAATGTTGAATGGCGACTTATGGAGCATTGTTTAGATGACATCAACAACAAGTATGCTGATTTTTCGTTTTTAGTGGCCTTTTCGGCGTCACTGGCGCTTCGCAACCGAAAAGGGTGTTCTTTTCTGTCTCGCTATCGGCTTCCCCTTTACATGGGTCTCGTGGGCTACGATACCGGTCTGCGCACAAGCAACCCGTGCCCCACTTTGGCCTTTTGGAACTGTGTAACACTCTTTGAAGGCCCGTTGGGGGAGACGGCGCGGGTACTGCATGCCCCGAGTTGTTTTTACGAGGTGAAGGAGTATCCGATGAATAACAGGGACGCTAGCTTGTCGTACTTCTCTTGGCTGTGGAACAATGGCAAGTTTGTAGCACAGTCGTTTTTCTTGAGGTCTCTACTACATTCTATTTTTGATCAGTCGTCCTGGAAACAAACGAATGGGGACATAACCGTGACAACCCTTGTTCTCAATAACCGTTTCTTTAAGTGGTGCGTCTTTAGATATCAAACAGCAGTGTCAGGTGGACAGGCGAAGTACTGGATGAAGATTGGCCTTCCTACATTTAACGGTCAGTTGGGCCTTCGTTGGTCGTACCGTAGTCGTGAGTTGATTCTTAAGCGGGCCTCGTTTGGAGGTCAGTTATGGTACAGGGCGCATTTTGCATTGATGCAGGTGTTTGGGTTGCATGATGGACCCCGCGTGGGGTGACGGGTCTCAATACGCCTCTCCTTTTAATATTATGATATTTTTTCTTTTTTTCCTTCTTGTTGTCGTCTGTTCGCCTTTGTGCGCGTGTGCGCCATCATGTGGGTTTTGCACGTCCGCGTGTGCCTTGACACGCTGCTACTCTTTGCTTTTCTTCCATGCCCCTGATGGATGCGCGTATTGTCGTTGCGTCACTCCCCTTACAACAACAACAACTATGCAATTCAAAGGTATTTAGCGCGCCACCTCCTTCTCTGCTAGTATGAGACCATACCGCTTTTTCAGCGGCAATGCTCAGCCGCTTTGGGGTGCGTGTACTGCACAGACGCGTCACAATATCAACGGGTTCTCCCTTTTTGCGAAGGAAATACAGGAGAAGGAGCGGATTCTCACAGCTAAAAACCTGCGGCGTGGGCAAGAAAATATGCGGGTTGTGTCGCAACGATGGCGGGAACTCACACGTGGGGAACGTCAACGCTACAACGCACGCGCAAACGAAATTGGAGTTCTAAAAGCTCACGATAGCGAGAAGTCTTTCAATGACTTTAACTTACTCATGCGTCTTTTGTTTCGCTCCGATGACATGGCGAGTGCGGGCGACGAGGTATTTACCGCCCATATGGCGAAGAATACACTGACGCGGCTGAAGTCGGAGCAGAAAAAAAAACTCCGCGAAAAAATGGTGCCCAAGGCGCTCCGCACTGCGAAGAAGCAGACGCGTGAGCGTACACTCCCTATAGCCTGGTACTTTCCGGAAATGCGCTACTTTACTTCTTTTGTGGAGATGCTACGAGCTGTGGCTCCGACTCAGAGGGCCCTCTTTACGGCAGTGTCAAGGGTGCTTGCGATCAATCGGATTATATCAGATGATTCCTGGACACATCTGTCGCGGAAGTTTGACGCTCTCGCGGAGGAGGACCGGGATATGTTTAGGCCTGTCACTGATGAGGATGCGCCCTCATTCGAGAAGTACTGTGCTTCTCACTGCGCCACCTTCGATGTGGCGCGCTTCGACATTGTGCGTCTCTTTGCACAGTACCGTGGACTTGTCACTGCAAAGACTTCCCTACCGGAGCCGGAGGCGACACAGTATAAGATGCTAATGGAATCCGATCGATTCCGTGAAAGTTTGTACTTCAAGGCGCTGCGTAACTTGGAACGGGCCAAGGCAGGCCGAAGCACGGATCAAGGAACTTACATCTCTCACATACATCCCGATGGGGTGACGGTCCTACCCCAGACGTACCTCATTCAGTCCAGCATGAGCGACGTTGAGATCGCGACACTACTGGCAGAAACACGATACGGGAAATCGGTATATGACGATGTTATGGATCGGGCCCGCTGTTTCCGTCTGGACAAGGCCAACCAATTACTAGGGGAGACGTACTTGTCGCCGGCGCGCATCACCAAAAAAAGAGCGACGAAGAAAACTTCCAAACCATAGAAACAACAACACGAAAGAATAATTTTTTTATTTTTATTTTGGTTTACCATACAACAAAAATGTATACTTTTTTTTACCCTTGTGGGTGTTCTTGCATTGTGTATGCAAAACCTGTACTTTCACAAAATGTGAGTATGTTTGTTCTTCTGCAAACCGGTGTCTGTATTTGTGTTTCCCCTATTTATTGCAGTGTCATGCTATGCTATGCTATGCTGTGCTTTGCACAGAATATTCATCCAATAAGGTCCTCTGCATTCACACAGACAAATACACACAATACTTTTCCTTCTTGCCACGACACATTGCACAACTACTGGGGCTCAATGCTATTGCGCCTTGCTGTTGTTAGATTCAGCATAACTTTCTCCGCGCACTTTCTCCCCAGCTCCTTTTTTTCTGCTTCTAGTATAAAAAAAATACTTTAGGTGCGATAAAGAGTCGGCAAAAAAAAAAATGTTTACCCAACGTCGTCTCAACCCCAACGAGCATCAAATGTTAAATGAATCAAACCACCTTTGCGAGGCTTTTGCCATTACTGAGTCCATATTGGCACGCTATCAACGCACCAACAAGACACTTTCTGCTTCCGAAAAGAATGCGTTTGCCTCAGTGTTGTTACGGGCACCACAAGATGTTCTTGCTGAAATCATTGAATCGTTGGGGTACATGAACGTTCCATCGCCGCAACCAACAAATGATTTTTCATCGCTAATGGAGTGTGCACTTGTTCTTGGTAAACCCCTTAAAGACATCTTTCAGTGCCTAAACAAGGCGCTTTACAATTCTCTTGGTTCCTCCAGATCCCTCGTGTATTATAAGGATCCAACTGATAACCTGTTAAGGGACCCCGTATACGGAACGGCAGCGACAATTGACGAAACAACGCCACTCGGCAAGGCGTTTATCGCTGGCATAGAATACAACATTGCCGGCACACTCTATATACCACTCAGCTACGAAGGTGATGTGATAGGATGCGTAGAGAGTGTATGGGGGCACAATGATCAAGGTCAAAAGCGACAACTCAGGGACACCCTTCAATTTATTGCATATGCCGTACACAACGCCATCGAGTCGGAACGACTGAGCTGGAACAAAGAAAAGGCAGAGGCCATGCTGACAATGGCAATGCAGCTCGCTCGTGACAATCTAGACGAGGCCGTGCTTGCAAACTCGATCATGAACACCGCCAAGGCACTGACTGAAAGCGATCGCTGCAGTATCTTTCTTGTCAAGGAGGATACACTAGAGGCCCACTTTGAAGATGGCAATATTGTCATCACCCCGATTGGTGCGGGTATTGCGGGATTTGTGGCCCAGACAGGTGAAATCGTTAACATTTCTGACGCGTATGCCGACGATCGATTTAACCGCGAGGTGGATAAGGCGACTGGATACCGCACCAAGACGATTCTCTGTATGCCTGTGATGTATGAGGGTTCGATTGTGGCCGTCGCCCAGCTGATCAACAAGCTGGACATGGTGACCGAGGGCGGCCTGAGGCTGCCACGCACCTTCGGCAAACGTGACGAGGAGCTTTTCCAGACCTTCTCTATGTTTGCAGGTGCCTCTCTGC